GTTCACAAAATTTCTAATAATCTACAAACTTCTCGAACGTTCTGTAATTTTCTCTGCAGATTTTCATGATTCAATGAATATCTGCAAATATCTCTGAACATCTATACAATTTTCTAAAGAATTAAAAGATTATCTAGAAATGTTTGAGCTTTCCGGAAGTTTTAGGAAGTATTCTGAAGTTTTTCTAATTTTTCTCAAGCTGTGCAAATATCTCTAAAGATCAGCGAACATACCTGAAGTTCTGTGAATGTCTCTCAAAATCCAAGAACCGCAGTAAAATTCTGAAAATTTATTCAAACATCTGCTAATTTTTGAGTAGATTTACGATCTACCCTCTGAACTTTTCTGAAGTTCCTAAAATTTATTTTAAATTCTGTAATGTTTTCTAAAGTATTGTATTTCTGCTCTAAAGATCTACGAACTGCCCTGAAGTTCAATAAATTTCACAGTAGATCTCCGAACTTTTCTAATTCTTTAAATTTCTTTGTGGATTCTTGATCTAAAGATCGGCGAACTTTCCCGAAGATCTGTTAGTTTTGCTGAAGTTTTGCAAATTTTTCTAAAAACGTTCGAACTTTCTGACGTTCTACAGACTTTTTTTAAGGTCTACGGACTTCTCTGAAGTTCTTTAGATCTAACTATTTCCGACTTCCATGGAGTTCTGCAAAATATTGTACTTTTGTACTTCGCTGCGATTTGTTTTTGAAATTGAGGTGCTTTTCTGACATTTAACGAATTTTTCTGAAGATCTCACAATTTGTGTGAAATTTTCCGTCAAATTCCTGCAAATATCTTTAAAGTTCTGTAAAGTTGTCTTAAGCTCCGTAGCTATATTCCCAAAATCTACAAAAAAAAAAATTTGAGGCTCAATAAATTTCTCAGTAGATCTGCAAACTTCTCTGATGTTTTGTAAATTCCTCTCGGGTTACCCTGAAGATTTGAAAATTTCCTTGAAGATTACCTAAAGTTGTCAAAATTTATTTAAAAATTTTTGAGCTTCCTTGAAGTTTTAAATGTCTCTCTCAGAATCTACAAATTTTCCTGAAATCGTGTAAATATTTTTTTTTAAATTGCCGAACTTCCCTGAAGTTCTGCAATTTTTACTGAAGATCCAATAACATTTCTGAAATTCTTGTGATTTTTTCAGAAGTCCTGTAATTTTTTTCAAAGTTCTGTAGCTTTGTTCTGAAGATCTACGAACTTTTCTGATGTTGAATAATATTTCGAGGATCTCCAAACTTATGTGAAATACTTTATATTTCACTGTAGATTCTTGGACTTGTCTAAAGTTATGCGAATTTCCCTGAAGATTTGCAAAATTTCGCTTATAGTTTTACAAATTGATTTGAAATTATTTTTGCTTGCTTGAAGTTTTGAAAATTTCTTTGAACATTGATCTGAAGATCTACGACCTCTCTTGTGATTTTGTTTTTATGAATTTCTATTAATTACTTTTAATTTGTTTGTAGTTCTGTTCTTAAGATCTACGAACTACCCTGAAACTTAACACATTTCTCAGTAGATCTCCGACCCTCTCTAAAAAATTCTATGTAGGCTCTCAGATCTGCTGTCTGGCATGCTTATTCTTATACAATACATGCTTCGTATGCTTCCTTTTGACGGTTGCCACCCTAATAAAAATAAACATAAAAGAGAGCTTAACGACGTGTTCGGGGTATCATCCAAACCATTTGTGGGATAGTTTACCCATCCGGGATACAGTTCGTTTATGGTATTTGTTTATTAGGGCAGTCTCTCTTCTTCGACTGTTTCCTTTTTACGACGATTTTGATCCTCCACATACAAATCAGCGAAGAGCGAGCGTGACAAGACTCTCTGAATGAACTTGTCTCGTTCGCACACGTTGTCTTAGCTGTCAGATGCTTGTCAAGTTCAGTGCCCTTAAGAAACGTTTCGACAAACTGAACGAAAAACTTCTTTTGAATTACGAATGAAGTGATAATTGGAAAATTCCCTGAATATTCCAGGTTTTTCCAGAAAAAGAAAAATTCCCTGTAAATTCCCGGTTTTCCAGGTTTTTCCAGTTAGTAGACACCCTGTGATATTACCTGACTTTCAGGGTAGTCGACACCCTGCCTGCCATTATGCAAGCGAGAACTGATTCTTAAAATGGCTATTTTTTAGTCAGAGCAGTGGCATCTCGTAACCTCACCACGACTTTGAAATTGCAATTTAGAGTCACAACTATATTCAAATCGGTTTTAAAAATACATAGGGTCTACTAGCTTCACCTATATGGCAACGGCGGAGACGAGCCAGCCAACGGCTGAAAGTCTTCTAATAAAGATATAAAAAAAAAATATGGCAACGCCACTGAGTTAGAGACGAACCAACCTAAAGCTGAAAGCCTCATTAATAAAAAAAAATTGTATTTTTTTTCACCCATGTTATGATGTCAATATGCCCCCATTTTCTGACAGCTGCATACATGGTTTATAAATGGGCATTCGCCAAACACCTTTTTTGAATGAAGTGTACCATATTTTTAGTTAAAGTTACGTGATTTGATTGATGGTTTTGACTAGAAATTCTCAGACCGAGGGAGAGAATTTTAATTTTTTTTTTAATTTTGTCGCACGTCTGCCTTAAGTCAAATTAACTGTCAACATCTGAACCAAACGAACATTTCCCATAGAAATATTATTCAAAGGATTTCTTATTCTTATTAGATTATATTAGAGAGTATTGAGCATTTCGTGTACACATAAATAAAGAAATTCAAACGCCTTTATTGATCGTGTGCTTTTCAAATTCAACCGATTTTTTTTGCAATCAAAAATAATATCCGAACCCTATTTATGAATTCTAGACCAACAATTGAAATAGGCGGAACAGCCAAACGTAAACAATGGCTTTAAACACAAAATTCTCGAGAATCAAAACACTCCCACGCAAACTAACAATGCCATTCGATAAAGGAAGTTTGCTCTATCAGATGACGGTGTTAGATTGCTTGGATGTGCTTTGATTCTCGAGGAATTTGCGTTTAAAGTCATTGTTTACGGTTTGGTTGCTCCGCCTATTTCGATTGTTGGTCTAGAATTCTAGATAGTGCTGGAATTAGGGCGAAACAGCCTTTGTAAACAATGACTTCTATCGATGATTTCTAGAAACTCAAAGCACGCTCACGCAAACCAACACAACCGTCAGGTAGGGGAAGTCTTCTTCTACCAGATGGTATTGTTGATTTGCGTGTGCGAGCCTTAACGTTCTAGAAATCATCGAAAGCAGTCATTGTTTACAAAAGCTGTTACGCCATAATTCCAGCTCTATCTAGAATTGATCTTTGCTGGTTTATTATGGCTTTAACAAATATGCAAAATATTTCCATGAACTCAATTATTCTTTTGCATGAATGATCCTCATATGCAAGACGTGAATGTATTGCCTGAAGACCTGTATTTTTGAAAATGTGCAGTGGTTATATAGTTTTCGTAAATTTTCTAAGCCCGACATTGTAAAAATTATATCAGAGCACGTTTTTAGAATGGCACCACTCTTTTCTTTATTTTTGCATAATCTCATAGTTTTAGAAAATCACTACCTAAAGAGGTGCATTATCAAAGTAGTGATATTTGACGTTGTTTTTTTTTTTCGACGAAGCAAGTACCAACCCAATTTACCCCCACCTCCCCTATCTACATGATTCACAGAAGTTTTTACTTAAACTTTTTGTTGCACAACATTGATGTTCCTTCCTCAGGTGACCTTATAATGTACGTATTAATAATACTTATAACACGTACATAGTTGAATTAAATGTTTCTCAGTGTTAAGCAAGCAGCAATTTAATTTTTAAATTCACACGGCTTCTGGATGTTGAGATTTGTGACCCTGAAAATGCGAACTGGTGAAGCAGATCACTTGACTGCATAGCGCTAGATCAACAATTGAAATAAGCGGAACGAAGAAACGTAAACAACAAACACATCCAACCAATCTAACACTAGCATCTGATAGCGCAAACTTCCTCTATCGACTGGCATTGTTAGTTTGTGCGTGGGTGTGTTTTGATTCTCGAGAAATTTGCGTTTAAAGCCATTGTTTACGTTTGGTTGTTCCGCCTATTTCAATTGTTGGTCTTCCTAGCAGTTCATCTACTTTAATGTTCCAATTGGTTGAACTTGCCCTTGGGCGAAGGAAACTTCCCGCTGCTTAGGGGTGAAACCAACTCCATATGTTTCTGCTCTACCTATAATGGAGAACCGATTACGGCCCACCACCAGACCCAGAAGCAAAAGTGAAGAAACATTTCACTTTGCCCTGACTTGCCACACTCAAACTGGTCCGGAAGTACACATGCAACAATGATAGCCGTCTTATGCCTACAAGAAAGAAGTGGCTAACAAAAGCTCAAACCCTGATAATTAGATACGATTAGCATTGCTACCAGCCGCAGCAGCTACAAATTATTGCCTAAATGCTACTCTCTCGCCATTCCAACCCCGCAAAGCAAAACGCAACTTAACATTGCGATTTAAGTTACGGCGAAATCACTGATAGACGACGACCCATCTTGTTTGATGTGGTGGTGACTCATTCTTGCAATGAACTCATTCTTCCCCTATCGGCGGTTTCAAATTTCTGACTTCAAATGAAGCAGGAACAAGGTAGGTAAACATTATGGCAAATAGCTTCACAATATTAACGCATTCCGATGAAGGCCATATCAACCTGTTGCAAACCTCCGGACCCAACACGATTCTCACAATCAATGCAAGGGGGCCAGGCGGTTGGGAAAAGAACACCACAATAAAATTCTACGTTTTCCTCGCACATACACAAAAGGTAGTAAACGATGCACATACCAAGATCCGCGGAAGATAAACGACGATACGAGCAAATCGAACGGGATTTTTTGACACGTAAAAACATTGCTCTGGCGAAAAGAAAAATTCCGTGACTCAATCGGCGTGAGGTGAGCTCGTTTCTCGGGGTAAATATTGGCCAAAATCACACGAAATTCACCCAAAACTTACCGCAACGGCAGCCGGGCAGCTAAATACAGTATGGTAGCACTGGTTTCGTATCCACTGGACGGGAAATTCAGGCCTGGAAATGCGATTTTCACCGGAACACACACGGGAGAAAAACTCGGATTTGCTGCTGCTTCCACTTACTACACCCTTTTTTCCTTGCTGTGCTGCTGCGACACGGGAGGTTTTGTGTTTGCTCAGATAGCTGTCAAAGTCGTCAAAGTGCGATGCCAGCTTGAACCGGTTGGTAATCGGTACGGTGAGGGATGAGGGACCTGCGCATTTTGCGCCTGCGCTGTCCAATGAGCATCAATATTCTGCGAAATGCCCGTTGGGTATGCAACAGGTGGAGCGAACATGTGGTTTTTTTAAAACGATTTTTGTAGAACGATGATTGAATTAATTAATTATATTAAGGTTCAATTTACTTTGATGCGTTTTGAAAATTTTCAACAGCAGTTTTTTTCCGACGCATTATTTCAGATTGCAAAAAGCTCGCACTATTCGATTCCTTTTGATATTTTACACAAAATGACGCGAGCTTTTTGCAATCTAAAATAATGCGTCGAAAAAAATTGCATCAAAGTAAATTGAACCTTAAGGGCACGATTGACAGAATCCTTTTTCCATGCAATTTACTTTCAGGGTGGCCAGTGAATTTTCATTTTGAAATTCCCGGTTTTTTCCCGGTTTTCCTGGTTCAAATCTTACAAATTTCCCGGTTGTTAATATTTTACAAAAAAAAAAAACGAAATTGAACGCATTTTTAAAAACGTGCTGAAAGGAGTTTACTGAAAGGATAAAAAAAAGTGAGTTAAGAAGGTTCCCAAGATTCTGGGGCTTTGAAATTTGTGTAGTCTGAAACTAGAACTTTTCTTCAAAATTTGTTATTAATAACAATCTTTCTGATGCAAGATTTGGAGAAAAAATAAATAAAATGTGAGATTTAAATTTTTTTCTAGTTCACCTATTTGAAAAAAAAAATCATACTTTTGAGACGTGGAGTCATAATTGTCACGCTCTGAGACTTGGAAACATTTTAAGGGTGATAAAAAAAATTACGAAGCAATCTATAGAATCTAGCGGACAAACCCTGGAATTTTCAATAAAATTTAAAAGAATTCAAAGTGTTGATTTCAAACAAATATTGAGAAGGATTCCCACACAGTTTTCGAAGGAGAAGTTCTGAGCAGAATTCCAGAATTATTCTGACATGAAGTTCTTAAAAATTGTTTGATGAATTTGAAGGGATTTTTGTGGAAAAAATGCACGTTCTAAATAAAATTTTAAAGTAGTTTTAGAGGATTTCAAAAGGAGTTGTGAAAAGCAAAACTTTAAGGAAAATTCCTACGTGATTCTGAAGAGATTTGTATGGGACGGAGATGAACTAGCCTACGCTGAATGCTGATAATTAGAAGTTAATTCTTTAAAATACTCCATCTTATTCTTCTTCTTCTTCGCATTTCAAGCTTATTGCATATCGCATATTAGCTTATTGCGTGCTCTCAACTTAGTGTTCTAGATGCACTTCCACAGTTATTAATTGAGAGCTTTCGATGCCTGTACCATTTTTGCATTAGTCTAATTGTGTGGCAAGTCCAATCATACTTCTATGCCCAGGGAAGTCGAGAAATTTTCCAACCCGAAAAATTCCTAGACCGGACCGGGAATTGAACCCAGCCACCTCCAGCATGGTCTTGCTTTGTAGCTGCGCCTTTACCGACTGAGCTAAGGGAGGCCCCTTATTAAATACTCCAAGGGGTTTCTTAATAAAATTTCGAAAGATTTCTGCTGTTTTGAAAAGAGTTAAAAGAAATTTTTGAAACGATTTTCAAAGGAATCGAAGTCACCGAATAGGTTCAAGGAAATTCTAAGAAGGATTCTAATTAAATTCTTAAAAGGGGTTGCAAGGAAATTCCAAAAAGAATTCAACAGTAATTATTACGAGGAGTGTTTTCTGGTTTATTTCAGAAGAATTCCATGATAATTCAGAGCAGAGTTTGAAGTTAATTCTGGAATTCATGTCATGAGAATTTTGAACAACGAAAAATTATGACTCCGGAAAAGAATAATTCAATTTCGGTTTTTGAAAATTCTTGTTTCCAAAGCCCAGCATCTTCAACATTTTCTTTTAAGGCCCATGTACTTTACATCTGAAATTGAAACGACAAAGATTAATTTGCAATAAAGCTGAGTGATTAAATTTAAAAAAAAAATAAGACGACAAACTGAAGAAAATTATGCACTTAATAGAGCAAGACATTTATTTGGTAAATGATCACTCTGTTGTAATGGTTTATTCTGAAATTCTGGTGTAAAAAATTGTTCCTTTGGTGTGGTAAGTTTATTTTTCCCGGTTCTCTTGCCGAATTCCCGGGTCTTTCCCGGTTTTCCCGGTTACTTTTCAAATTCCCGGATATTTCCCGGTATTCCCGGTTTGCTGGCCACCCTGTGCAATTTACTTTACAACTTAACATTTTCCCGGGCCCACATCTGGTGATCCACTTAATATAAAAAGTTCAAAATTAATAAATATGATTGCTGCAGGGAGGCATGCATCGCGTTTAATTTTCAGATTATTTTTGTATATGACTTCTGAATGTTTATACGCTATTTTGAATCTACTCAGTAACTGGGTAGATGGCACCCAGTCTTCTATAAAGTAAAGATTTGTCAAAATCCGGGTAAACTAATTTTGTTCTGATGAGTAGAATCTATCCAGATTCTGGGTAAATGGTTCTTATTGAAATTTTACAAAGTTCAAAATGGCGCATGTATAAAAGGGAGATTGTCGTACTACCAGTGAAATGTTTACCGCTCAAAATATATCAAACACGAACCAATTCATAACTTTAGAATGCGGGTTCATAGCTTAGCTAAATATTTCCCGCGAACACGGAGCCAGATATCAGTGGTGTGCTTTGGTCAGAAATTTTATTGTTTTTTCTATGGTCGTTCATGTCGGTTTGTCGGTGTTGTTAGTTTCTTAACTTTAAACTTTCTTATAATTCTAGGTTATTCAGATATTCTGTGTCGCTATTCTCGATGCCAAATGTTTGGTGTGGTGTGAACCTTTTTAAAAGCAAATCTCAATGAAGGTTAGCAATTGTAATGATATCCTTATTTGGAAATTGCACTGCCGTATTCCATAGTTAAATATTTTTCCGACAATCATTAACAGTACACGCTATTTAGAAGCTACTCAGTGACTGGGTGGATCACACTCAAACAAGTAGATCACACTGGGTATGAAGTTGTCAAAAAAGGAGTAAACTGGTTCTGCTCCGATGAGTGGAATCCACCCAGATTCTGGGTAAATTATTCTGATATCAATTTTTCCTAACTTCAGAATGGTGCACTTTGAGCTTGTGGCAAGGCGAGTTTTGCACAGTGAGTCAAACATCAGTTTTAAGAAGTAACTAGTCGGTGATAAACTCTAACAAACAGTTCCCGAAAGTGTGTGATCGAGGTTTGTTCGAAGCAATTGTTCGCTGAAGCAATATCAATAAACCCTATAGGGTAAGATTATGTTTGACAGAGCTGCTACAGCTGTCAAATCAACAAATTTCTTTTAAATGTGTTAAGTTTACCCAGATATCAAATTTCAGCATCTGAGTAACCGTTACCCAGTTTCTGTCATAAGTACGTTTACCCAGATTTGGGTAAATGCATGTTTACCCATTTGGGTAGGTTCAGTTTTGACTGAACTAGGTAGACTTTACCCATTTTTGGGATGTTTTCAAGTAGCGTTTAGAAAAACCGATTCAATCGTGCCGCAGCTCCACAAGAACAAAATAACCCAAAGAAACGTGCTCATCTTTTTGGCTCAGCTCTGGTTCTCTCTTCGGTCCCAAGCTAATCGAAACATAGGAAAATCCATTTTATCTGTCAAACGTTCATAGAGAATCAGAACAAACATAGTGTAGCACTAGAATTTCGACTAGAATGCGGTACGTTAATCGTTTGCTGGGGACCAATTGACGTAACTACCAACCGGTGGAAACTAACGATTTTTTATTGGCTCACACTGGACTAGTCTATCGGTCCCAAGTATGTCAATTAACGGACCCCATTCTAGTACTAAACTATGTACACGGAAATAGAAAACTACCCAAATTTGAGTTCTTTTCACTCAACTTCGAACTTCCGTGCAAGAAGGTATTTTTGGGTAAACACTAAAATATCCAATTTTGGGTAAATAGCCCAATATGACCCAATGGGTAAATTTTAACGCCAGAAAATAACCTACCATTGGGTTAAAATTACTCAACAGGCAGAACTGCTTTCCCTAATAAAAATTGTATGGTTAATTTGCTTAACGACGTGTTCTGGGTATCATCCAAACCATTTATGGAATAGTTCAATGATTTGGGTTGTCGTTCGTTTATGGTTATTTTTTATTAGGGTTGGTGGAACTTTTGATGAGGGAAAAGATAATTAATAATAGGATAGTGTGATATGTAAATGGTAATAAAACCGTGCCAGGAAACGATCTTTTATTGTTTTATTCAAAACACAAACGTAGCAACACGTCGATTAACGATGACTGCTTCGGATCCTGTTATCCACCGATGTCAGTACATACACGACCCAAAGAATTTGCCAGCAAACTCGCTTGTAATCGATGCTGGAATGGCGGGATGAAAACCTAAAAGCAAATACATTAATTAAGTTATCAAAGTTTATGAGAAATAAAAGTTCACGCTTTAATTGAAAGGAATTCCTTCCGAGCACAGAATCCAAATACGGAAAAGTCGTAATTGTAGCGGGTTGCTAGCCAGGCTCCAATTATTCAGATCCTAACTGATTTCTCGCAACTCGCGCACTGAATCCGTGAATTAAAGACACATTTAACTAAAGAAAATTTACATTCGAAAGTGTAGAACAACGCGGACATTGGTTTTCGTACGAAATGCAAATTAGAAATGGCGTCACTGAAGCCAAATCGACAAGGATTTTTTTACCCATCTTTGGGTTATTTTTACTCAACGACAACTTCAAAGTTACTCAGCGTTGAGTAAATTGAAGTCGATTTTGCGGTTATGATTTATAAACTAAATTAAATGGTGAATTTGTCTGAAAAAATTACGTTGCTGTTAATAATAAGTCAAATTATGAAAATATATTGTGATAATCAAACATTTAATTGAAATAATGATACAATATATAAAATTTATTACTCCCGCACCCTGACAAAAAGTTTACAAGTTTTTTTCTACCTAACTTTAGGTAATCTACACATTACTTATCCGTTGGGTAAAAATGAATCAACGCGTCATTTGATTTTTACCCAACGGGATACTTTAACGGATGTACTTTTTTTTGGGTTCTTTTAACCTAAATTTTGGGTAGTTTTTTATTCCTGTGTATGTTTTGAATAGCTATGAAAGTTTGACAGATAAAATGAGGGGTTATTGGTTTTTCCTATGTTTCGAGGGGTGAATCGATTAGCTTGGGACCCAAGAGAGTACAAGAGCTGAGCCAAAAAGTTGAGCACGTTTCTTCGGGACCTTCTGGTCTTAGAGTTACATCTATGGTATTAGCATAGAGCTAACTCTCTCTTCGTCGAGCTCTTCGTAATACACTGTACACAAACATCATCCTCTGATCGAATGAAACCTCAGACCATTCAAAACAAATTATCGAAATCGCTTTTTCGAATGCTACCTGCAACGGATGACGGTTGTTTTGCAATCAGATCAGGCATAACATTTCAGTGCTAACATTTGAAAACGGCGCAAAAACCATTTGTAAACAAATGGTTTGTGGGCCCTTTACTCGCTACCCGAAGAACGCCCACGCAAACCAACAGCATCGTCAGGAAGGGGAAAATTTCCCCTACCCGATGTTGCTGTTGTGCTGTTGTGTAAAGGGCCCACAAACCATTTGTTTACAAATGGGTTTTGTGCCGTTTTCAAATGTTAGCACTGATTTGATAACGGCACAAAAGCATTTGTAAACAAACTTTCTAAGGCCCTTTACACGCAAACCAAAGTATGCCCACGCAAACCAACAACATCATCGGATAGGGGCAACTATCACCTTTCCGTAAGAGGTATTGGTTTGCGTGGGCGTACTTTGGTTCGCGTGTAAAGGGCCTTAGAAAGTTTGTTTACAAATGCTTTTGTGCCGTTATCAAATGTTATGCCTGAGATGATTTTCCTCAAGAAAACAGGATGAAAATTGTTATGATAAGGGATAGGGCCTTCAGTTGAAATGCGTAATGCTCTCTGCAGAATGACTGTCATACTAAATGGAAATACATATGATATTGGTTCAGCCCCATAACGCAAATCATTGTCTTCTAGTCTTTTTCCATATTGAGCTGCGAAACAGTTCGATAGCCATTCTTATAGAAAATTTTCTCAGCTACAACTTTGCTGAAGATCGTTTCTATGTAAAACGAGACAGGAAAAAGTTATTAATTATTTAAGAGATTGGTAAACTTATGACATGATCAAGCAGCTGCTCTGTAGGCAACACTGTATTTTGCAGTGTGACATAGTAGTCTTGATTTTTGTGTCCTATTCAACGCCCCAGAAACACCAATGTTGCCTGCTGAGCAGTTGATTGAGCATGATCAGAAGACATCAGCGCATTGAACCATTGATAACTTTCGATCCTTGCATTTAATCAAAACGTGGTCTTGAGCAAAGTTGTAGCTGGGAAAATTTCCTACAAGTACAGTTGAAAGTTTTTGAAGCAGACCGATATGGTGAATTATTAGATAGACATGAACAAAAATCTTGGTTTTATCATAGTAAGTCCCATACAAACTTCAAATGGTTTGTGCCATCTCAGTTTCTCACCCAATGAGTTCAAATTTTGAGAGGTTAGTCAGGATCCGATTTGGAATCGTTTAAGTATTGTGGAGCGAAAATTTCAAATTTTGCATCACTCTAATGTTCATCATCTGACGACGAATTCAACCATAAGAAAATCATCCGAAGTTCGAATGCATATTGTTAAAGGGCTCGAGCAATACAATAATCAGTCGAAGTATTGCGGATGTTTTCGTTCAGTGTAGAAGTCAATGTGCACGCACTGAAACAAATCGACATGTACCGTTTACTGGATCCATCTTATAACATAGCAATGTCAGCAGATTTATTCATTCTATGTGATGATTGATAGATTCCATTGTATTATCACTTTAAAACTATGACTGCGATATGGAATGATTTCTATCGTAATTTCACATACTTTGTACTTGATAATACTTTGCTTCGAACTTGGCTTCGAACGTGGTTAGCGATAGGTAAAAAGTATAGGAATATTGTCTGATATATTTCATGGTGAAAAATTGTTGATATGTCATGTTGATATATGTGGGAACAGACATCTAGAAAGTAATGGAAAATCATATAAGTTTGCATTATTAGATAATTCAGTACAATATACCTGTTTTCATGATGAATATTGCTCACTAAAAGATATATCTTATAAGATAATCATGTATATTTTATTGAAGTTGCTTTTAACGATTTTTGACGTTTGTTGATATGTCGCGTGTAAACAGACATGTAGAAACTATTGGATTTTTGAGGTTTAAAGATTGTAAACAGATTTATCCCAATCATTATATAGTCATATAGATTTGCCTTTTAAGAAATCCAACAGCAAACATTTGTTTTGGCATGTTTTTCTGGGATGAATATCGCTCAAAATAAAATACATCTTACATGATTGCTCTTCATAAATTATTGAAACAATTTTCAACAATGTTATCGTACACTCATTAAAATGATTAGTTGATATTGTTGATATTGTAAATATTGCTAACAACAATCTTTGTTTGTTATTGTTTCATAAGATAAGGGGTTCCGGAAAAGAATGTATTGAGATTGAAAAAAAAAATGATTCTACTGCAATATTTACTTTGCTGTGATTCTAATTGTAAGCCTTCTACACAGCTAATTCAGATTCCAGCCCTAGTACTCGAACTTCATGAACCAGTTCCATCAACTCATATAATTTAGTCGTTGTTTTATTGCACACAGGCGCATTAAGAAAGATTTGAACAAACGACACCACCGAAACGGAACATAAACTTGTCAGTGCTATTTGTCTTCACTCTAGCAAAACGAGCATAAAGTTGCACTACATTCCATGTCGGGAGAGCTGTTCTTACTTCATGCTAATTGAACGAGCTCAATCTTGAAGTCAGCCGTGGCCCAGTGGAATCGAGCGCAGAAACCGAAAGCATCACACCTCAACAGTTCTTGATCGAATCCCAAATCAGCTACAATAAAAAAAATACACAACTGTGAAAGCTCCCACTGCCTGATGTTTATTTTTCGATTTATTTTTAGAAATCGATTAAATATATGTGTCAAAAGAAGAAGTAAATTTCATGTGATTTTCACATAAACTTTACTTCGATTGATTTATGACACATATATTATATTGTGGTGAAACGTAAAGCTTTTGCTTATGGGTTTCAAATCCATTTCAGTTAATTATTATAATTTGACTGATATATATATATATATGATTTATCATATGACGATCACATAAAAGTTACCAAATTATCAGCATTGTAAATGTATCAGATATTCATATAGAATTTACCTGACACATTTTCAATCATATCATTTTCAATGGATTATCTTATAGCACAAATTTATTAGATTTCCACATAACAGGAATATGTCAAATTGGTTCAGTGCGACATCTCCCAATCATTCTAGCCTATTCTACTATTCTAACCTCCCTCCCTCTAACTCTTCTTCTTTCCAGCACCGATCGGCACCTTTCGCATGGCTCCACCTTGCTGATCTTTCCTACTCGATGAACCCCGCAGCACCGCTCGGAAAAGCATGGTTCGCATGGCAGGCTCCAAGCTGCTGGCACGGCTTCTTCTGCTGATCTCCTCGGTTACGCTGGTGTCGCTGCTGGCCCTAACCCGGTGCGGTCTCGGTGGCCTGATCGCCACCGAACACGGTCTTGCCACCGGTGAACGCGGTGCTCCACAGGCCCTCGTCGGCCCGGCTGGCGATGAAGAGTACGGTGCTGGTCCCAGCTCTGGGATCCGGGAGTCCTCCGCTGCGCTATCTTCGGCGAATCGTTACACGAATGATGAACAGCAGAATGGGTATATGCAGATGTTGCAACAGCGCGAAGAGGAAAACCTCAAGGAGGTAGCGAAGCTAACGGCCGAGATCAAGGCACTCAAGTTGCAGATCTTGCAGCTGAAGAATGTTCAACAGGTTTCGACCGGTGAACTGCTCCCGAACGGGAGCATCAGTAGCAGCGGTGGAGTAGCGCAGAATTCTCCCCAAACGCCAACCATTCACGACTGTTCGATTTTCATACGGCGGCAGGTCGGATCTGCGGAGATACTCCACGGGCTTCCGTTGAACAATGAATACGAACTGATTCCGTTCAACCACTTTACGTTCAGCCGGGTTTACCCCATCGAGCTGGGATTGGGCAAACGGGTAGTTGAAAAACCGATCGGGTACAAGCGAAGAGATATCCTGGGGGCGTTGAACAAAGCGATCGAGACGTTGAACCGGAACATAACCTCGAATATGATGAAGTACACGTTGGATGACTTCACCGAAGGTATCTATCGCAATGAGCCGACCACGGGAACTCAGTATGAGTTGTACTTCCGCACGAAGGAGGTTAACAAAAGTGTGTCGTCCAGTGGGCAACATCACGACACTCATGGCATTCATGGAACGACCAAGCTGCTCGTGATGAGACCATTTGCTCCGCTGCAGACGATTCAGATGGAAGCGTTCCCAAAGCAGCAGGAGAAGGAACTGATCCATATCATACTGCCTCTGTCCGGAAGGACGTCAACGTTTCAGAGCTTCATGGACAAGTACGTGAAGATAGCGCTGAAGCACGACAAGAGGGTGCACCTAACGGTGGTGTACTTTGGAGAAGACGGCTTGTCGGAGGCAAGGTCGATCATGAGCCGCGTGATCGGCATGAAAAACTCCGGAGGGAATTCGTCCAACCTGAAACTGTTGGCGTTGAACGAGACGTTCTCGAGGGGTAAGTCGATTGTTAGCCTTTTCATAATGACAAAAATGTTGATGGGATTGCTTTTGCTTTGTTTACGTTTACTTGACAGCGAAAGCCCTGCGAGTTGGTGCTGAAAAAGTCTGGAGCAGCAATGTAGATAAGGACAAGGACGTGCTGCTGTTCATGTGTGATGTAGATATAGTATTTAGTGCTAAATTCTTAGATAGATGCCGCTGGAACACCAAACCCAACAGAAAGGTGAGCCATTTGGACAGTTGTTCAAGCGATTTAGATTTTGACGAGTTCCGATTTGCGACAGGTCTACTACCCGGTGGTGTTCAGCTTGTACAATCCGCACGTGGTGTACACGCTGCAAGGCAAGGAAGTGCCTCCCGAGACGGATCAGTTGCTCATCTCGAAGGACTCCGGCTTCTGGCGGGACTTTGGATACGGCATGACCTGCCAGTATCGGTCCGATTTCCTCAAGGTGCGCGGTTTCGACGAGGAAATCATCGGGTGGGGCGGCGAGGACGTCATGCTGTACCGGAAATATGTGCGATCGCACATCAAGGTGATTCGGGCAACGGACCCGGGCATTTTCCACATTTGGCATCCCAAGGTTTGTACAGGGGTGACTGCGGGGCAGAAGCTCTCCGTAGATCAGTACCGAGCTTGCATTCGGTCCAGGGCGTTGAACGAAGCCTCCCATGCACAGTTGGGCTTCCTGGCATTCCGAGATGATATCGTAGCGAACGAGGGGAAGATTTTGAGTGGACTGAAGCATGAAAACTCGAGTAAGGTGGGTCACAAGGTTAGTAAAAATGGTAACACCAGCAATGGAGGCAATAAGACGAGCAAGGACTCGGACAAGAAGCTTACAACGACAGATCACAATAAGAAGAACACATGATCCTTCATGATACAACATCAGGAAAGCATCTGGCGGATAGAATTCTAGGTAAGATCCTTTTGATATAGGACCAATAGTTGAGGTTAGGTATGTAGGCAGCAGTCGCGTAGGTTTTGAGAATTAAATTCCTGGTGTTTGTAAAAAGATTGCTCCAGAAGGCCCATGAGATTTTATTGGACAGTTGTCATTCCGTTGAGGTTAGGTTTTAGTCTACAAATACAACCTGTAAATAAACCAAGTAGGATAACAATTTTCCCCCTTCCTAGCCAATAGATTGCAATTTGAAATGAAGACATTTTAGATCAAACATAGAAAGAAACAAATCAAAATATACCATTGCTCAAGCTTTCCCTAAATTTAACGGAAAGCAAACAGTTTACGGTCAGTGAGCAAACAAGCAACTGTCAGAAGGCTATTAAATCATTTTTCTCTGATGACACCTCTCCACCATATTGTGACGTGATGTGATTGGTGACGGGTGTCACGCATATCGCGGACAATATTGCGATTGTCGCCGGAACGCAAGCGCAGATGATAACCGGAATGGTCCGGAAACGATCGTGCATAGTAAATAGAGCGATTCGAAAAGTATAAAAAATACACATGGTTGACTTGTTTAGATCGCCCGGCAAGGTGAATAATTAGGGTCGGTATAATTTGTATCACGTACGCGTTATCTAGTTTGTAATTTGTTTATCATAAAAAGTTACTCATTTTCCAAGAGACCTGAAGCGAGCCATCGTCGTCGTTGTCATTAGTTCCATTGCCAAAAAGAAGAGTATTCGAGTGAATGAATATTTGTTATCATTGAGATTGGTTTCTAATTTATTGGAGAAGCGATTAGTTTACGTTTGCGGACGGGATGATAGATCGGTTGTAAATATGTAGGAAATCATTAAATTAGTAGCACTATGTACAGACATACCGAGTAGTACCATTGCACTCCTTTAATATAGTACCGCAATTACGTACGTGATTAAATTACTACAACGCTACTACTCGATATGTCTGTGCATGGTAGAAGAAGGTATTGAACAATGAAAATAATAATGACTTTTGAAGTACTAGAATGTTTACGACTTTGTTGATATCGCTTTGATGATGACATCCATGTTTTTCTAAAAGCTTCACGACTTAAAATCGTGATCACAGCAAACGGGTGATTGTTGACCGGCAGGTATTTAAAGCGTTGCAAAGCCTACAGAGAGCATCAGAAGGGAACGTCCTGTGAGAAGAATCGTCAATCAAGAAAATCAATCAAGATGGCCACCAAAGCTTTGCTTTTTGCGATATTTTTCGTTGTTTCGGTAGCTTTGATTGTAACTGCCGATCAATCGCCGAATAGTCGTGGAATTCATCTTCCCAAATGCAGTCCTCCAAACGGTGATCAACCAATTGTTGAACCTGGAAATGCGGATGGTTCCGAAAACTCAGACGTGGAATCAGGGTAAGTTTATGAACACACGGTAGATTGAACCAACTCAAATTTGCATTTTGTTCACTCAAATTCACAAAAAACGTACACGGAACGAAAAAAGTATCTAATATTAAGTTTCAGTCACCCAGGTTGCGTGCGGGAAGTTTTTTTTTTTTTTTTTCTTATAGAGATTTTTAGCCTGAGGCTAGTTCATCTCTTACGTGCGGGAAGTTAATTTTAAGTTAAAAGGCTTGAAGTGATTGTCATTCGCGCACATGTAAACACACTACTTACTACTAAGTTGATTTCACCCAACGTCATCTTCAAGCTTAATATTAAGTTGTGCATCACTTACTTAACACATCTGAAGACCCCTATTGAGCGAGGGGGACGACTCTATCTACGATGCAAAAAAGATTGTGTTTTGCTGTGGCTAGCTGCGCGCACACTGAGTAGATAGAAAGAAGATTGATGACGATTCTGAAGATTTCCTGCAAAAAATTGATGAGCGATGCAAGTAGATGCGACATATGAAAGAAGATTGTTCGAAGATTGATTCGCTAGTGTGAGATTTGTTGACCATCTAAACTTGAGATTTAGATGTGTCGCCCCCCTCGCTATTGAGTGGGTTTGCTCTTTTTTTGACATAAACGTGAGAGCGAATGAAAGGCACACATCAATCGAAGGCATCATATCATGAAGACTGGCAACTTTGCTAGAATCCAAGCGACAGATACAGTAGCGGTGCACTTGAGCGAAGGTGGAAGGATGTATTCTTTGCTATCAAAATCGTTTGAAGCGGTCGTATGAGAAAATGGAAGAGTTGCCAGTCTTCTTGATATGTTGTCTTCGCCTCAATGGTAAGTTTAAAGAACACAATCGTTGGGTGGTTTTATTGTTCCGTGTAGTTTAATCATAGACTGACTAAAATATTCTTAGATTTTCCAGGAAAAACTTTTCGATTATGAGGAAAATCAAGAGAGGTTTAACTCAGTCTATTAGTATACTCCTTAAACGCTGTCCAGACTGGAGAGTTATAACATGTTATAACGGTTGTCAAATAATTGCAACACATAAACCACCATCAAGGTAGCGCTATACATGTTATAACTCTGCAATCTGAACGTCCTATTAGACTGAATAAAATTATCGTTGATTTTCTTCTTATTCGAGCAGATTCTTGAAGAACATTTGACTTAATCTATCAGTAACCTACGTTTTTGTGATTTTGAGTGAAAAACCCACTCCATTTTGAGTCGATATCATCGGCCGTGTATAGCTGCATGAGGTATTTAAAAAGGTTTTAATCTTAAATTTTCATTATATTTTCATCTGACAGAAATTCCATCCCGAAAATGGAAACGAGATAAAATGTCTAAATAAAGGAATTCATAATGTTGGATAAAGGACCACAAGGAAATGCTTATGAAATTGATTATGTCATATATATTACAATAAACAACACTATTTGCACCGCATTGAAAAGGATTTTATTTGTCATTTTTTAATTAATGAACGATCCCTTATTTTATCAAAACTCCAGAAATTCTGTAATCGCGATTTAGTATAAAATATTTAAAAATCCTTCATTTGTCGGCTGGTGGATGTTCCAAACCTTTAAATCGATTTATCTCCGTTAATATGGCTCTAATCGCGATTTGGGGGGTGTTCAGATGGTCGAAATTTTTATTCCCGGATTTCCCAGTATAAAATATTTAAAAATCCTTCATTTGTCGGCTGGTGGATGTCCCAAACCTTTAAATCGATTTATCTCCGTTAATATGGCTCTAATCGCGATTTGGGGGGTGTTCAGATGGTGGAAATTTTTATACCCGGATTTCCCAGCATAAAATATTTAAAAATCCTTCATTTGTCGGCTGGTGGATGTCCCAAACCTTTAAATCGATTTATCTCCGTTAATACGGCTCTAATTGCGATTTGGGGGGTGTTCAGATGGTCGAAATTTTTATATCTGGATTTCCTAGTATAAAATATTTAAAAATCCTTCATTTGTCGGCTGGTGGATGTCCCAAACCTTTAAATCGATTTATCTCCGTTAATATGGCTCTAATCGCGATTTGGGGGGTGTTCAGATGGTCGAAATTTTTATACCCGGATTTCCCAGTATAAAATATTTAAAAATCCTTCATTTGTCGGCTGGTGGATGTTCCAAACCTTTAAATCGATTTATCTCCGTTAATATGGCTCTAATCGCGGGGGGGTGTTCAGATGGTCGAAATTTTTATATCTGGATTTCCTAGTATAAAATATTTAAAAATCCTTTATTTGTCGGCTGGTGGATGTTCCAAACCTTTAAATCGATTTATCTCCGTTAATATGGCTCTAATCGCGATTTGGGGGGTGTTCAGATGGTCGAAATTTTTATACCCGGATTTCCCAGTATAAAATATTTAAAAATCCTTCATTTATCGGCTGGTGGATGTTCCAAACCTTTAAATCGATTTATCTCCGTTAATATGGCTCTAATCGCGATTTGGGGGGTGTTCAGATGGTCGAAATTTTTATATCTGGATTTCCTAGTATAAAATATTTAAAAATCCTTCATTTGTCGGCTGGTGGATGTCCCAAACCTTTAAATCGATTTATCTCCGTTAATATGGCTCTAATCGCGATTTGGGGGGTGTTCAGATGGTCGAAATTTTCATACCCAGATTTCCCAGTATAAAATATTTAAAAATCCTTCATTTGTCGACTGGTGGATGTCCCAAACCTTTAAATCGATTTATCTTCGTTAATATGGCTCTAATCGCGATTTGGGGGGTGTTCAGATGGTCGAATTTTTTATACACGGATTTCCCAGTATAAAATATTTAAAAATCCTTCATTTGTCGGCTGGTGGATGTCCCAAACCTTTAAATCGATTTATCTCCGCTAATATGGCTCTAATCGCGATTTGGGGGGTGTTCAGATGGTCGAAATTTTTATTCCCGGATTTCCCAGTATAAAATATTTAAAAATCCTTCATTTGTCGGCTGGTGGATGTCCCAAACCTTTAAATCGATTTATCTCCGTTAATATGGCTCTAATTGCGATTTGGGGGGTGTTCAGATGGTCGAAATTTTTATATCTGGATTTCCTAGTATAAAATATTTAAAAATCCTTCATTTGTCGGCTGGTGGATGTTCCAAACCTTTAAATCGATTTATCTCCGTTAATATGGCTCTAATCGCGATTTGGGGGGTGTTCAGATGGTCGAAATGTTTATACCCGGATTTCCCAGTATAAAATATTTAAAAATCCTTCATTTATCGGCTGGTGGATGTTCCAAACCTTTAAATCGATTTATCTCCGTTAATATGGCTCTAATCGCGATTTGGGGGTGTTCAGATGGTCGAAATTTTTATATCTGGATTTCCTAGTATAAAATATTTAAAAATCCTTCATTTGTCGGCTGGTGGATGTTCCAAACCTTTAAATCGATTTATCTCCGTTAATATGGCTCTAATCGCGATTTGGGGGGTGTTCAGATGGTCGAAATTTTTATATTCGGATTTCGCAGTATAAAATATTTGAAAATCCTTCATTTGTCGGCTGGTGGATGTTCCAAATCTTTAAATCGATTTATCTCCGTTAATATGGCTCTAATCGCGATTTGGGGGGTGTTCAGATGGTCGAAATTTTAATACCCGGATTTCCCAGTATAAAATATTTAAAAATCCTTCATTTGTCGGCTGGTGGATGTTCCAAACCTTTAAATCGATTTATCTCCGTTAATATGGCTCTAATCGCGATTTGGGGGGTGTTCAGATGGTCGAAATTTTTATTCCCGGATTTCCCAGTATAAAATATTTAAAAATCCTTCATTTGTCGGCTGGTGGATGTCCCAAACCTTTAAATCGATTTATCTCCGTTAATATGGCTCTAATCGCGATTTGGGGGGTGTTCAGATGGTGGAAATTTTTATACCCGGATTTCCCAGCATAAAATATTTAAAAATCCTTCATTTGTCGGCTGGTGGATGTCCCAAACCTTTAAATCGATTTATCTCCGTTAATACGGCTCTAATTGCGATTTGGGGGGTGTTCAGATGGTCGAAATTTTTATATCTGGATTTCCTAGTATAAAATATTTAAAAATCCTTCATTTGTCGGCTGGTGGATGTCCCAAACCTTTAAATCGATTTATCTCCGTTAATATGGCTCTAATCGCG